ATCTCAGCTGTGGGGGACAGCGCCCGGCGCAGTGGGGGCCCACTGATCTCGGCTGGGGCCTTTAGGAGCTCTTGCAATACAAGTTACTATCATCCAGTGGGAGAAAATAGAACGGCTTTGCCTGATCTGCACCCCCTACAAGCCCTCTTGGTTTTTCTGGGGGCCCCAAGATACCAGATCGGGGCACATTGTGAAGCATGTTTCACACAGGCCACAAGAATAAGACCTGTCTCTAGCTTCCCTAGGCTGTTTTCAGACCTACCCACACAGCCACCCACTGCTGCATGTTTAATATCAAGTATCCAACTCCAGCTCTGTCAGAAGCATCAGAGGAATAAGCTGCCCGTCAGCTGGATCCCTCCCCACCCGATCCAGCACCTACTCCTGCCACTCTCACAGATCAGCCTCCTTCGCTGCCCGGGGACCCAGAAAGCCGCATGCCTGGCTCCTGCTGGGATCACAACCCCGACAGTTCTGTTCAGGCTTAAACTCAGCGCTCCCCAAGAAGGCACCGTAACTCATTGACCTCTGTCCTAGGATCTCAATCACCCTCCCATCCAGAGCCAGGAGCAGAGCCCAGGAATCATGGCTTCAAGTCCACTACACCCCACTCCTGGAGCTGGGAGGAACCCCATGCATCCCGACTCCCAGCCGCCTGCTCCGTCCACTAGACTCCACCCCACTTCAGCACTGGGACGAGAACCCAAGAGTCACAGTTCCCAGCACTGTGCTCTAACTATTAGACCACACTGCCTCCCCAGTGCTGTGACAGAGCCCCGAGTTGCTTAGGGATAGTGGCGTAGATTGGACGCTCCACTATACGGTCACAGAGGCAGCCCTCAGACCCAACTCCCGCACGAGGTCTCGACAAGGAGGCAACACTGAGATGCAGGGATCGGGCAGTGGACTGGGGATCTGGAGATCAGCATTCCATTCCCAGCTCTGCCACTGACTCTGGGCAACCCATTTCTCTGCTCTGTGCCTCAGTTTCCCCTCCCACACAATGTCTATTTAGATTGCAGGCTACTTGGGGCAGGGACTCTCTCACACCCTGTATCTGTGTAGCACCCAGTACTATTATAGGTACTTATATGGCCTCCCATTACCAGTATCTGAGCACCTCACTACCCTTACTACATTTATTCTCACCCCTGTGAGGCAGGGCTGAGCTATTATTCCCATTTTACAAATGGGGAAACTGAGGCACAGAGCGAGTATGGGATTTGGAGATCTCTCATGGAGTATGCAGCAGAGGAGGGAATTGCATCCGTATCTCCCAAGTCCTAGGCAAGTGGCCTGACCTATAAGGGGCTGGAGTCTGTGTACCTCAGTGGTAGCCCATATACATAATCCAGCTTGCTACCACTCTGTTTCAACATAGTTGTAACTAACTGGATGCTGATCCTGCCAGGACCGTGGACTGAGCTACACAGAAAAGGTCCAGGGATGAGGTTCAAGCTTAAAAAACAGGATTTATGCACAAGACAGATACCACAACCTTTCCCCCCCAAATCCATAAAGAACTGCAACCCAATCAAAAACGTATTGAAAAAAATATACAATCTCCAAATAGAAACAGCAACCCAAACAAAACAACATATTAAAATATATGTGTAATCCAAGCCTGAACACTGCAACCTAAACAAATGGAATAAAAGTGAAATACAACCCAAACAAAACAATGCACTTATTATATATACACACACACAACCTGAAACTTGCAACCCAAAGAAACAGAAAAGGGGAACATGCAACACAACACGTGTGTTATTATACACACTCTCTACATAAACCAGAAACCTGTGACCCAAACACATAGCAAAAGAAAAAAAAATTAAATTAAATCAAATGCAACCCAAACCAGACAGCTTAACCTGCCCCCGCCCCCTTCAAAATGTAAATAAAGAAAAATGTAAACAATTTGCAACAGAAACAAATTGTAAAGCTTTTTCGGTGAAGTGAAGAAATCCTCGCTACACCCTCACCTCAACCCACTCTGGGGTTGTTCCAGTTTCACGAGCCACAGAGTTTATCCAGGAAAAACTTCCTGGCTTTTTGTTTGGTGGGATTTTTATTTATTTTTTACAGGGGGAGATCACCCCTTTATCCCTCCCTCCCCTTGGCCAAACACCACTAACTCCCAACATATGACAAGGAGAAGGGCAGTCTGCCGCCCCCCCCGCCCGCCCGCCCACACACACACACACACCCACACACCCTCCCGGCCTTGCTACCCCCAAATTCCCAAGTAGCTGAAGTTGACTTTAGGCTGGTGGCTTTCGGCCCTTCCCTTGCAGCTGAGTGGGCAAGAAGCAAGATAACGAAACAAAAGCCCATCTAGGCACAGGGGGCTGCTAGGATGGGAAGACCCCAACTACAGCTTGAAGACCCCATAAGAACTGCTGTAGCTCACGAAAGCTTATGCTCAAATAAATTGGTTAGTCTCTAAGGTGCCACAAGTACTCCTTTTCTTTTTGCAATAGAAGGGTTTCTCCACCCAGGAGCCTGATCCATTGGGGAGATTCATCCTTGCCCCCACCCCCTCACCTCTACCCAGAAGGGGGTGCATAGGGGGAGGCCTCACCAGAGTTTATTGTGGGGGGTGGTGATTCTCTTCCCATGGGGGGGGGGAAGGTCCCCTAACGTGGAGGAGATTGGGAGGGTCTAGGAGGAGAGTGGGGGGCAGCTAGAGAACTCCCCAGGGGGCAGAAAGTTTCCTGAAGGCACTGTGGGGTGAGCAGGGAAGCCTCTGGGGGAGAGGCGGGACCTGGAGAAAGGCCTAGCACCCCTCCAGACCACCCAGGGGAAGGGGTGAGTCAGATGGGGGGACTGCAGCAGAGGGAGGCATAGCCAGTCCCCTCAGCATCAGGGAACTGAGATAAGGGACTGCAGCAGAGGGGGAGCAGAGCAGGTCCCCCCAGGATCAGGGGGTTACAGTGGAAGAGTCAGATGGGGGGAGTGCAGCAGAAGGGAGGCGGATCAGAGGATGCAGGGGGGTCAGGTGGGGGCTGAAGCAGAGGGGGGCTGAGCAGTTTCCCCCAGGATCAGGGACTCTGGGGGGGTCAGGTGGGGGCTGCAGCGGGAGGGAAGCAGCTCCCCCCAGAATCAGGGGGTGCAGTGGGGGTCAGGCTGGGGGGTAGAGCAGGTCCCCCAGGATCAGGGGGTGCAGCAAGGGGTGCAGCAGAGGGGGCAGAGCAGGTCCCCCCAGGATCAGGGGGTGCAGTGGGGGTCAGGCTGGGGGGCAGAGCAGGTCCCCCCAGGATCCGGGGCGGCAGTGGGGGGTGCAACAGAGGGGGGCGGAGCGGGTCCCCCGGGATCCGGGGGGCAGTGGGGGGTGCAGCAGAGGGGGGCGGAGCGGGTCCCCCGGGATCCGGGGGGGCAGTGGGGGGGTGCAGCAGAGGGGGCGGAGCGGGTCCCCCCGGGATCCGGGGGGCAGTGGGGGGGTGCAGCAGAGGGGGGCGGAGCGGGTCCCCCCGGGATCCGGGGGGGCAGTGGGGGGTGCAGCAGAGGGGGGCGGAGCGGGTCCCCCCGGGATCCGGGGGGGCAGTGGGGGGTGCAGCTGAGGGGGGCGGAGCGGGTCCCCCCGGGATCCGGGGGCGCGGGGGGCCCCGCCCCGGGCGCGGGCCGGCTCCCACCTGTGCACAGGGGCGGTCTCCGCGCAGGGCTCAGCTCGCCCTGGCCTCGCGGCAGCAGCAGCCATTCATTGCCAGCCAGGCCGGCTCAGCCGAGGGCCGAGCGCTCCGATGCGGCAGCGGCCGCCGCCAGCCGGGCCTCCCCTTGCATCAGGCGCACACACGCCCAGGCGCGGCTAGCTGAGCCCTGAGCTGGCTGCTCCCTGCTGGGCCCAGGGGCGGCCCAGGGGAGCAGGGCCCCTTCCCCCATCTCCTGGGGGTCAGGAAAATGCCTCTGGGTGAACTTGCCAGCCAGGCTTTGGGCTTATCCTTGAGGAGGGGGGTGCAGAGAGGGAGAGAGATGGGGTGCATGGGAGTAGATAGATAAGAATAATAGAATCATATGAATCTATTGCATATACACACAGAATAGTAGAATCACAGAATTATTCTATGTGGCACCTTAGAGACTAACCAATTTATTTGAGCATAAGCTTTCGTGAGCTACAGCTCACTTCATCGGATGCATTCAGTGGACTGCACTGAATGCATCCGATGAAGTGGGTCCACTGAATGCATCCGATGAAGTGAGCTGTAGCTCACGAAAGCTTATGCTCAAATAAATTGGTTAGTCTCTAAGGTGCCACAAGTCCTCCTGTTCTTTTTGTGAATACAGACGAAAGCGGCTGCTACTCTGAAACCAGAATTATTCTATGCAACTTCTCTGCAGTAAACTTTTTTACATACTATAAAGCCATATATATACACACTGAATTTCATGTCCTAGCACTAAATATATAAACATATATGTATATAAAGTCATAATATGATTATATTATAATGATTGTATAATTTTAACACAGCACCAATATACAGATAAAGTTAAGTGCAGAAAAATCGTGTGTATATATAGATAAGAATAATAGAATCATGATTGTATAATACATATATAATTTCTCTGCACTAAACTTATTTTCATATTTATATATACATGCTAAATTTAATGTCCTACCATTACATTTATATATATATATATATGATATTTTAATCATATGACTTTATATATATGTTTGTTTTAGCACAGCAATATACATATAGAAAGTTTTGTACACAGAAATAATATATGTAGCTATCTATCAAAATAATAGAATCATACATATATTTTCTTTGCACTACATTTATGCATGTACTTCTCCGCATTAAATTTTTTCCTTCCCTTTATATATCTCAGTGTAAACTTACATATATATATGTATATATTACATTTAGTATCCTAGCACTAAACTGATATATATATGTAATTTTTATAAACCAATATATATAACATGATGATATATCATAAACATATATATGTGTATAAAGTCAATATATTTTATTATAATTATATACCATTTTATATTTGGTGCAGATAAATCCTATGAAATGGGAGGGTCAGACTCAACAGCTCTATAGGAGAGGCAGGTACCATGCTTAGGAAGTTTGGATCCAGAAGCAAAATGCATCTGCAAAAAAAAAAAAAAAAGTTGGGAGAGGGGGGTTGTTGTGGGAGGAATGGGTTAGAAGGAGATTTTCCCACCTCTACATTTGGATCCAGGGTTTTCCCCATGATTAGGCCCAAAATATTCTCTCTCTGTGTCTCACACACACACACACAAAGTAATTTCTGGATCTGGAGTAGGGGGAGGTCATCTCCAGCTTTGGATCTAGAATTGACCCCCCCAAAAAAATAAAATTTGGTGTTTGGATTGAAGGAAGTTTCCCCCAATTTGGATCCAGAACTGACCCCCCAAAACACAAATAAGTGGGGTGGAGTAGGGGAAGAATTAACTCCTGAAACTATAATTTTTGGAGGCAGATTAGAAGGAGGGTTCCCCCAAATTTTGGACCCAGAACTGCCACCTTAGAAAGAAAAATTGGGGTGGTTGAATTAGGGTAAATTTCCCCCATATTTTGCTCCAGAAATGACTCCTTTAAAATCTTAAGAGGAGGGAGGAGATAAGGAGAAAATTCCCTCCAAACTGAGGGGGGGAGTGTAGATTTTCCAGGTGGGGTCTGGATTATTCCTCACCCACATTCCCTTAAACCCCATTTTTATGGCCCTTATCCTGCCAGGTGCACCCCTGATTGGCAGGAGGAGTTGGGTGCGTGGGTGGGTCTTTTTGGAGAGGGATTGGATTTTCCAGTGGGGTCTGGTCCCCTGACCCCTTTTATAGCCCTGGTTCTGCTGGGGGCACCCCAAATTTTCAGGGTGTTCAGATCTGGGTTGCTGAGAGGGCATTTGGATCCTCTCTATATTTTGAGGGTCGTGTTATTATCTGGGGTTCTGGCTCCATATCCTAATCTGTAATTCAAGCCCAGCCAGGAGGAAGACTTGACAGACAGTTGAGTAGCCATATGTGGGGAAGGACTAGGATGGGCCAAAAGGCCTTGTCTAGCTGTGGAGTCTGTAGGCCTGGCATGCACCTGGGGACCCTGGAGGGGGTGGGGAATCAGTTTCAGTTGCAGCATCCCCACCCCTTCCTGGGATGCTGCTGAGGGCTCTCGGAGGGGTTCATGAGCCTTATGGGGGGAGATGACATCGACACCCCCCCCAAGCCTGTGCAGAGGACTAAGGAATGGGAATACAGATCTATACCCACTGAGCCCCTCTGCTCCGGGGGGAGGGGAGGCGGAGGAGGGGGAGGATAGGGCCAGCTATGGATCTCCACCCCTCAGGTTATGTGCCGACCTCAGGGCATCTGCTGGATCCCGATGGGACTGGGGGTGGGGAACCATAGCTCAGTCCACAAAATGGCCCTTCGAACCAGTGGCAGGTTTTGCACACCTGCTGCCATGCAGCTTCCTTGACATGGCTGCATTTTGCAGGATACTCGATGGATGTCTCACGCCAGCCCCTGTGTTGTGCCATGGTGATTTCTGTCGTCAGGCTGCCTGGGTTGCAGTCATGATGTGGCCACATTAAAGGGGGAGCAGCCTGACAGTGATCCCCAAAAGAGGGACATGCTCCCCACCTGGCAGGGCTCCTCTTTAACCCAGTCTCTAGCTCAGCTGCCCCCCACTACCCATTCTCAATGGGATTGATTTTCCGGTCGCGTTTTGGTCACAGCCGCCAAGTTGTTTGTCCCTCTAGCCGCCCTGTACATGGCACCTCCCATTGGCCGGATGGGGGTCACCTGATCGCTCCCCGCAGGCTACAATATGGCGCCGTCCATGTAGCTGCTCCTGGAAGGCGTGGAGGGAAGGCTAAGCTTGCTGCGCTCTTTGGGTGAGGGAAGCCTGGGGTGCTAATTGGGGGAAGGGGATGTTCTGCCCCGCACCCCAGGGAGGGCCCCGTGGGCTCAGCATTAATTTAGCTTTTTTGGGGGGCACCTCAAATTTCAGCTCTCAAATCCTCTGCTTGGGGGGGGGGAATTTGGGGATTATTCTTCCCCCTTTCTCCTCCTCTGAGTTATCCTGCACGAGCTCAAAACCTGGCATCGGCGCCTCAAACGGAGTCACCCTCCCCCACTTTAATTCTGAGGGATCGGGGCCTCCTAGTCCTTCAAGCAGTTTGAACTGGCTCCCAGAAAATATCAGGTTTGGGGGGGAGGTGGGGATGTCTTTCACTGTCATTGTAAGTCTCATGATACTGGGTGGCTTGTTCTCCCCCCGCCCTTTTGAAAACCGTGGCTCTTTGTCTTGGGTGACTACGTGAGATCTCAAGCTTTTGTTTTAGAAAAAAATAACCATCCATACTCTATTAGTCGCTACCAAAAAACCCCAAAACCCACCCTGTGTTATCTGAACTGGTTCATCGGGGAAAGCTACTGCAAAAAAAGGGGCGAATATAAGAATGACCCTACTGGGTCAGACCAAAGGTCCATCTAGCCCAGTGTCCTGTCTGCCTAAAGCAGCCAGTGCCAGGTGCCCCAGAGGGAATGAACAGAACAGGGAAGCATCCAGTGATCAATCCCCTGTCGCTCATTCCCAGCTTTTGGTGAACAGAGGCTAGTGACACCATTCCTGCCCATCCTGGCTAAGGCCATTAATGGACCTATCTTCCATGACTTTATCTAGTTCTTTTTTGAACCCAGTTATGGTCTTGGCCTTCACAACATCCTCTCCTGGGGAAAACCTAGACTGGTGACCACCCTAGTCCTTGAACTTGTGGTGAAAAGCTTAAAGAGGTGAACACCCATGCCAGAAATCAAATAAAAAGAACCTCATGTGTTGTTTTAAAGAAATCTGATGACTTTAAGCCAACCTCGTGATGACTAATTTTTGGATGCATGGGGCTGACAGTGCTGTTGGATTGCAGTAACTCCTAGGAGTCCAAGCCATGGACAGAGAGTCCTGTTGCGTGAGGCGCCGTATGGACACAAAACAAAAAGATGTTTTGTCCTACAGCGCTCATGATCTAAGGGTTTGTCTACACATGGTTTTTGCACTGATTTTTTTTTTCCCCTACATATGTAATTAAATCATTGCGACGCCTTTATTGGGGCTGTGGTTATAGCAGTATAAAGATGTGCTGGTAAATTTACCAAAACCAGCTCTGTTGATCTCAAAACCCTTATGGGGCAAGGCTGCATCCCCACCAGATTGTTGCAGCAATTTAATTAAATCAGTTTTTCCGCAAAATGCAGATAACAGCACACGGTGGTCATGAGTAGCAACACATTAAAGATTGTGCAGTGCTTGGGTACGACAGGAATGAGAGCTGCAGAAGTAGTGTTTGCATGCTCATTGGCAAAGCCACTTCGTTGTCCTAAATCAGATTCCTCCTTAACTCTCCTTTGCCATGATGGCTACAAAACCCTTGGCATTGGCTGATGTACAGAGACCGCTGCCCATCACGCTCACTGATACGGTTTCCTTTTGCTCCCCTGTCTACAGCCATCTGTTGCCTTTTCTTATATTTAGATTGCAGGCACTTTGGGGCAAGGACTGTCTTTGTTCTGGGGCTGAACAGTGCCTAGCACAGTGAGGCTGTGGCCTGTGACTCTTAGGTACCACTGCAATACACCTAATAACAAGCCCAGTGCAGTACCACAATACAAACCGTAGTAAGACCGTAGTTTATAAAGTATTTGGGGATCCTTCAGGGACTATTTCTCTCTTGTATTCTGGAGACAGCTGTGACACAAAATGTTCTGATGAAGGCTAAGTTCACTCCACTGGCTTGGTTTATGAGACACTGCATCCTGCAGCCGGGCAGAACTGTAACAAATCAGCTGGCTGGAAGGGGCCGGAGATTCCTGCCACCAGAAGATCTGCCAGCTGGAAAGCTCTGTCCTTCCAAGCACATGGAAGGGGAATGCCCACAGGAAGCCAATGGCTCCCATCCAGAGCAGCGTGAGGAGCAGCCGCCTACATCTGATCTAGCGATGGACACTGGGAGCTGCGCTGGCCCCGTGAAAACTGGGGAGACTGTGATCATGGAGGGGAAAGCAAAGATCATCTTCCCCAGTGCCAACGAAGTGTTCTACAACCCTGTGCAAGAGTTTAACCGAGACCTGACGTAAGTACAACCAAGAGGGGGGCCTGGAGCTGTCTACACTTATCTGGCCCCCATCACGGTAATATATGAGCACTTAGCCCTGCCCAGCCTCACAGGAGGGTTGCAATTATCCCAAGACACCAAGGCTAAGTGATTGGCCCAGGTTCACACAGGCAGTCTGTGGCAAAGCACAGAATTGAACCCAGGGCTCCAAAACACCACCGTTCCTCTCCTATTAGCCCATCCTTCTCTAGTGCCAAGCACCTGCTGTTGTGGGGGCCCTTAATGTGTCTCCAGTCAGGGCCCCCAAAATCCAGTCACTTTTGAAATCAGGGCTAATGTGACAATGGAAAGAATTGCTTGGAAAAACTGAGCAGTAGCATGTCTACCAGGGGATGTGGCCTAGATCTGAGCGTTAATGGGCACTAAGGCCTGTGTGTGTCTCTCTGATCTTCTGCCTCAGGTGTGCCGTGATCACAGAATTCATTCGCCTTCAGCTTTCGGCCAAGGGGATTCAGAGTAAGTGGAAATCTCTCTCTCTCTCTCTCTAGAAAATCCCCCGCCCCAATGCAGTGAGCAGGATGGTTAAATTAGTAGGACCGTTACTAGCACGCTAGCTTTCAAGGCCAGACGGGACCACTGTGACCTTCTGGCCTGTTGTCCCTCCCCGAGACTCCTGCCTTGAGCCCGGTGCATCAGGACAAGGGAATGCTGGGAGCTCGGCTCTGATTCTTAGTTGTCCCCTTTCTGCGCCGCTTGCGGGTGGGAATGTTAAGCTGCTCTGTGCTCTCCATAGTTTGGGCTCCACAGGGGCTTCCTTAGCCCAAAGCTGAAGCTAGGCTGCTCTTACACGCTGCTCCCTATCGCCCCTGGGATGCAGGGAACAGCCAGAGTGCTGGACACTTTGGCATAGTGGGCAGATCGGGGTGTGGCGAGAGGCTGGGAACAGGGATGGTTCAGGGCCTTCATGTTAGCTCCTCAGCCTGGGAGGGTGCCCTGCACAGAGGGGCATCCCCTCCTTCTGCCCCCAAACTGCAAGGCC